TTTCAATTTATTAATTTTCATCGGTGTTAAATCAATTCATAAATTTCCAATTCGTTTTCTTATTTTCACGCGTTTCGTATATTTTCGTTGGAGAAAATTCTGAAATCCCGCGAGCAAGTACCATAAACGACACGTTTACTCGTAGCTTCGCTGGGAAATCGCACGGCAACGCGACAGATAATCGTTTTCCGGGGTGAAAACACCTCGGTGCGATTCTTCTCCGGGACTTTTCTCGGGAATTCCCCTCCGCGATCCGCGAGGCCGCGTTAATTTCATAACCCGACGTCTCGTTTCACAGCGGAAGGCGATTTTTTCTTCCGCGGCAACCGGCCGTGTCTTGCTTTTCACCGGAAGCAGCTCGATGAAAATTTAAACAGCCGGGGAAGCTTCGCTGGCCTGTGAAACAGCGACCGGCGTCGTCGCGTTAAAAAGTCAATTATTCCCTCAGGCGATTACGACGTTTATTTAACGAGCAAACAATCGCCGACGAGGGGAACAGGAACGGGGAGAAATTCGGGGAAAAAGGTCGCGGAACAACGCGTTCCGCGAGGGAGCTTTCGGTGCTCTCGTTACGTCGATGTTAACGATTTTACGATCGATCGCGATCGCCCGATCGCAGTTTTCCACGTCCATTGTCGCGAATTTCGACCCCTTTTTTCCACCGTTCCACGAGTTGTTTCAATAGGCGAATTTTTCTTTCTTGCCGGATTAAAGTTGGGGTTGCCTGTGATTGGAACGCTGCTGATACTTCGATATATCGGCAATATCGGTAGGGTATCGTTAACAACCTAACCTAACCTAAGTACACCCTAAGTAACCTTTTCTAAATATTTTTAATATCTTTCAAGTAAATTAATATCTTCTAATTAAATTAATTACAGTGCAGCTTTGGATGAATTTATTATTTACATGTAATTATCTTCATTACTATATTTTTATTAAAAGTAGCAGAAATTACTAGAAATCACTATTAACTTTAATTCGGGTGGAAGCATAATTACACACAGTTATTTGCTTTCATCATACTACCGTAATTATTATCATTTGCGTACAATATAATTAGATACACATTATAGGCTGCTAATTGCAATGGTAATATTATATCTTAGTAGGAAGGTGGAAAATGTTTGCAATATCGATTCTAAGGCTGCACTAGTGAACTATGATTCGATTCGCGGATTGAGAAATACATAGTTAAATAGATGATTATTATTATTATCATTTACTTTCAGACTTAAATTAATTGTCACTCTTTCGTCATAGAATATATTCAATTT